AAAACTCATGCATTCTACATAATGAAACTAGTTAATTACCTTTCAAAATCATGCAGAGCACAGTATTGTGCTACTCACAGAATATAAAACACGAGGATATATGATGCTTTAGGAAAGTTACTGAACTCTTAACCAGCTTCAGAATAGCAGATATTTTACCTTCTCACTTCTTCAAAAGAAATGAGGAAAACCAAACAAAAACTCCACAACTTTCCAGGAGCGCCCTTTGAGACATACAAAGCAAACAAACAAACAAACCACACAGATTTTCAGGAAAATATTAAATAAAATGACCCAAGCCTTGGGGAAGAGAGGCCGTTCCAAGCTAGCGAGACAGCACAGATGACAAACTGGCCACACTGCCCCATGCAGAGACACTGGCAAGGGGGAAAAAGGAAGGGTATCTGGAACACTCCTAGGATACAACTCCGAAATGGGTTTGAAGTGGAGAAAAGCAATGTAATTTCTACTCTCTCTTCAGCTGTGCAAAGGTAGCCATCTCTGAAGAGCTTTGAAGACTTTTTCCGCATATAACTTCTCTAATAATTTTAACATTTATCTTATTGTCACTGTTTACTTCTCACTTTGGGGTGGTCTCACCCATATCTTATCATATCTTCTCATCAAGACTGAACAAGGACACCCTGAAAATGTACATGTGGAGCCCCACACATGTAACCTGAGCTGTACAAATGCCATTTTAGTAGGACATTTGCTCTGCACACAGCAGCTAGCAGGCAGCAGCAGGATGAATAATACATACTGCTCCAACCCTGGTTGTCATGGCTCTGCTCCACACTGCTGCAACTGCAAGGCTGGACAGGTTTTAGATTCAAATAAAGTTTTCATTAAGATTTATATTTAATTCATGAAATTATTCTTTAAGGACACTGTGCCTGCCACCATTTTATAGTTCCCATTTAGAATCCTGCAATAGTGGCAGCAGAGGGAGCTGATGAGTAAATCATGCTTTAGTCTGCATAAAGCAGGGACTGGAGCAAGGTGAATCATGTTGTAAATCTCAAGAGGAAGAAGAAAAAAAAGGAAAAAGTGAAGTGTCCTATGCATGACTAGTTATTTAAAAGCAAATAAAAGACTGACATATATGTAAAATTTCAAAATAAAATAAAGGGTGATTGGTATGGCCAATTACTTCTGAACTGCTTTCCACCTAGCAGCTCCATTTTTCATTCTGTGGTGAATACCCCACCCCACACACACATGCTCTGTGTTCGGCCAGGTGGCTGCAGGGCTCTCCCTGGTGCTCCCCCTGTCCCAGCTGGGTGGCAGGGCCTTTAGCTGTCGGGTCACTAGCTGCACAGGATGCGGCTCCCACGCGTCCCCGGCAATCTGCTGCGGTATCAGTATGCAGCGCTCAGGGTAAAAAGCCTCTCTGGTTTCCAGCAGGTTAATCTATCTGGAAAAAAAGAAAGAAAGGGGAGGAAAAAAAGCATAAACACTGTCTCCTCACTGATTTTGTAGCTGTCAAAGCTAGAGATTTAAGTCTATGAAGACAGTAAGAGTCAGAGTTACCACCTAAATGAATGCCAAGGAGGCATTTCAAGCTACAACCGCAGCTTCCCTCAGAGCAGTGTCCTCCTTCCACTCCTTAGTCCCCGCAGCAGGGAGAGCCTCTACAGGACTACTGCGCTGGCCTCTCAGCTTTTCTGTTTTTCCTCTGTTTTTTTTCTCTGTATTCTGCACTTGTAGAAAGCCACTATTTAGGTCACACTTCTATGATGAATCAAAATGCACATAAACTCGCACAGCCGCCAAGATAATCAACCCTATTGTGCCCTTCCCGGCCCTCCTCCGTGCCAGCGCGAGCCGGGATCCTCCCTCAGGCCCCGCTGTAATTTTACCAACAGCTGAGCCCTGAGGAGGCAGCAATGGCAGTGCTGAGGGCCTCAGTGCACAACCCAGGAGATCCTCCCTAGATGCCAGGGCGACAGCTTGCACTCCTTTGTCCTGTGCAATTATCACTGCCTTAAAGCTCAGTTAGGGCAGGCAGATAATGAGAAAAGGCTGGGTCAAAATCAACTTGCACAAAGGCAATAAATTCAGAATTTAGTGCCTCAAGAGTTTGACTAAACTCTGAACCAATGCAGTAAAGGGTATTTTATCAGTAAGATCACTCAGTTGTATATGGTTCTGTTCGCTTGAGAATTAAACCACTTGGCACAAAAAATAGATTTACATCAAATAAGATTCATCTGTCCTTGACTGTGACAATGTTGCTTGTTTCTAGTAACTTTTATAGAACAAAAATGTTATCCATTTCCTTTTCACGCATATTTTATAATTTATATCCACAGAACAGAAATAAAACAATTCATTGTTTTTCAACTTTGTTTATCAAGGAATCTTTAAGCATAAAGAGGGTTATTTGGAAGGGTCTGAATGCCTTGACTCCCACTGCCTGGGAGGAGCTGAGCACTTCCACACAGCATGTGGCACCGCAGAAGGGACCCAGCGCAGTGGGTGTCCCTTGGCACCCACTCCCTCCTCCCTCCCCTCTGCTTTGGCAGCTGCCCTACAGCAACACCCCAGGTTTTGCCTCGCTACCCAACTGGCACCATAGGGCACCAGAAGCAACACCCCTCGGGGTTCCCTGCTATCCCCACTGAGCTACAACACCCAACAACTACTGCGGGGGAACCCGAGTCATCCCTGACCCACGGGAAGCTCTCCAAGGACCCATCCTCCCTGCTCCATAACTGGACCAAACCTCAGCAAGGCAGGGCAGCCTGGGGAGCCCTGGCACCGCGTGGGCTGGAAGCAGGGCACTGACTGACAGGTACATCCCCTGTTGACACAGCTTACGCCTCCTCAAGGCCTGCTCAGCTTCCCTGCTACTCCTAAGCTTTCAGGTAAGCACTGGGGCCAAGGTTGCCCAGCTGCTCAGCTTATTTCAAGACACACCATTTAAACTTCTCAAGAATTCATAGGTATCTTTCTATTTGCATACTTTCTGCTTTCTCGATGTCTTAGAGAACAACATGTTTAGCACACTACTGTACCCTAGATGCATTTAACACTAAATCTCAATTCCTTATCTAAATATATATACACACATATACACCTCTCAGCTCAGGCACACAAGTTATTACCATTTGAGTGTAAAAAAGTACTCTAAAGACAGAAGCAATGGAGAGCTATTTTGCATGCAGGCGAATGCAAAGTTACACATTAAGCAGCTATCATGGCAAGCGTTGCTCCTTATCACCTCCTACCGACGTTGTAACTTGGTAGACTCGGGGAATAGAAGGCAGGAGTCACTTATTAAACATGGAGAAAAACTTCAACTCACATTTTAAAGTTGGAAAGACTATATCCTGAGAAAGTTTTCTAACATGATGTAAATCTCCTGGTTAAAAAAAAAAACACCAAAAGTAGAATAAAGTGTCAAGTAAACAAAGTGAATGGAACTGCAGAAGCCTGGAACAATATCTGAAAGAGGAATTAACTGCCAAGCAGGTAAATGCCAAGTCATTTTTACTAGTTATTCCACTCCATCACAAAGAAAAACAGGAAGGCCAGGCTTCCATAAAACTTGCTAAGTAGTTTCTTGAAAGGTAAGAACATAGCATTTACAGACCTAACACCACTTGCGTGTTTGCTTTCTCCTCTGCTTTTTAAAACAAAGAGCCAGGCTCCTGGTTCTTACCAATCTGACCATCAGCTCGCATTGATCACACACGATCACCATGCGGGCCAAGCTGCAGGGAGCATCCCTGCCTTGCTCTGCTCCAGCCCAGCTGCAGGCTCAGCTCAGATCAAGAGCTCCTCTCCTAGCTCAACTGAGCTCAGATCAAGAGCTCCTCTCCTAGCTCAAGCCCTGAGAACGGCTTTGGAAGGAGTGCAGCCTTCATTGCCCACCACACCTTCCCAGGGAACACCCACTTGCTGGCAAATGAGCGCAGGCTGCTAGGAAAGAGACTTCAGAGCATTTCCTTAAATGCAACAGCTCACACTTCTCAAAGGGAAATAAAGAATGGTTCAGAGAGTTGTAAAGCAAAAGAATTTAATTTTTCCAAGAAAGTTTCAAGATGTGGAAGGTCAAAATACAAAGCTCTTGAACACCACAACACCAAATTGGAACATCTGTTGATTAGAAGTGATTGCTTAATACAAAGACTAGGCGACATGATTCCTTACAGTACAAAGCTTATGGCACTGGATTTGTGTTTTCATTCCCTGAAAATCGCAGCAAGTGTTCTGAATTTAAATTTATTTAAACACTGAGAGTGTCAAATATTTGTCTCCACCCTCAGATCTAAGCACTAGGGGTGAGTTTCAGGGTATGAAATGGGTAGCCAAGGCACCGCACTGCTTAACCACGAGGGCAGAGCCGCTAGCCCTTAAACGTTCTGGTTTTTGTCCAAGTGTTTCATAGACATTCATACTTACACATCTACTGAGATAAGATGCATCCCTCATGGGGTATAGAATGGAAAAAATACTACAAGTCTACACAATAAAAATGTAACCTTTTTTAACCTTATTGTTTATATGTTTGACATTTCTTGGTGTTTTCTCAGATATTTCATTTCTAAAATTTGTATCCTCAAAGTATCTTTCTCCACATTATTTCACTTTGAAAGAACTAACATAAAATGAATACTTGATTCAAGATCATTGTTCACCTCTGTCATTTTGCTAAATACAGAAAAGCACAGGTAACGCTACCAAAAATTTGTGAAGATATCTGCCAAATCTATATGCACAATTACTCATCTAACCTCTTAAAACAGCTTTCCAATTCACTAAAATGGCTTTAAAGAAAAATTCTGCTGAATCCTTTTTAATAAGTTACTAGACTGCAAACCTTGCGTACCAAAGCCTAGCACAAAATGTTCTTCCATCTTAGGCTATAGAGTCCCGATACAGACTTACTCTAATTATTAACAGAACTTCAGCCACAAGGGTACAAATCAGTCTACTCCAGTTTAATCACACAGACCAAAGGCTAACTCTGTGGACCATGTCAATGCCATAAAGCTATTATAGAACAGAAAATTAACTGAAACTAGAGTTTGGAAGAGCTACGTATGGATTTTATCATACACACTGTTTTATAAATACAGTTTTGCATACAGAAGCAACTAATCAGTTTAAACTAGACATTTCTAAAATTAAATAAAAAGTATTGGTTGTGTCACGTTTGAGTTCCCTGAGAAGAAAGTGTCTGAACTACACAGGTCTTGGGAATGCAGTCAGTATAGTGAATAAACACAAACCTCTTGACTGCTACAGCACAAACATCTCAGACTTCCACGTTGATCAGACTTGCTTTAGACATTTTAATTCGCGTTAATCCTTACTCTCCAGAAGAGAGGCACTGAAATGGGAGCAAAAGGTGACAGTCTAATGCTAAAACTCATTTCTGTGAAAAGTTTACTATAAACTGGAAAATATAGTCTGTATGCTTGAGGAATACAAAGTCACTAAAAGCAGAGTTTACCAGATCTATTTAAGCCACAATTGAGCCTCCAGCCTTGAAAACTTCCACATACTACAAAGTTTTCTAGTATGCATTTCTGTAAAGAATGCTCCCCCTGCCCCTCTTCCCTGAGGCAGGGCTTACGTTTAGTGGACATGATAAATCCCAGGAGATTTAAAACTTCAAATCCAACAAATGAGCGCACAGCAAAAGAATGAGTAAAATCAAGAATCATTTTATTTCCATCCAGTTTTTCAAATATTAAGGATGGTGGTGTTAGACTCAGCTCCCTGTTATAACGTATAGGAACACGCCGTCTTTAGAAGCGTCAATGCTCGCAGTGTGTTCCCATTTTCCCCACCCCGCTACCCGTGAATGTGTGGATGCCTGGCCTGCTGTGACTGTGACTTGCACCTACCTAACACAGGTCTCCTTCATCCGCTCTCCCCAGCCACCAAGCTACAGCAACTGGCGGTGGAGAAAAAGCACTGAGGCAGTCAGTAAACAAGAGGTTAGAAAATATTAAATAGCAACATACACTACACAAACGCACGATATCCCCACAACACTCAGAAGACAACTTTGTTACTCAGCCTCACTCTGTTTGCCAGGAGGCAATTCATGAGGATCAATACTATGAAATTATTTGTTGTCCACTACATGTGCACAGCTTGTATTCCAGATTCTTCGGAGTTGACTGCCTACAAATTGGCTTAAATTCACTGTGTTTTTGTTATTTTGAAGACAAAATACTGAAGATAGTTTCAGGTATTATCTATGTGGTTTTAATAGCAACATTGAGACAGCCTCTTTGACAGTTACAGAATTAATGCTCAACACTTGTGAAAAAGCTTTAAAAAATTATGTTGAAAAATGATTTTCCGTATGCCCCATGCAACTGAACTGCACAAACAGTTCAAATTCTTAATTTAACATACTCTAAGTTAGCAAAGAGTTCACATTTGGAAACTGATCCCAGATAATTCTTGGTCCTCATATTGTAGGAAATGAAATCATTTAAAGTGATCACCATCAATAGAAAAAATTACCACGACGGGGGGGAAGCATATACACAGCCACTGTAGCCAGGCAATCAACTCTTTCATTCCAGACTATCGGAAACATTTATCGACTACATTTTTTTCCAGCCAGAACCCAAACAGTAATTCATATTTGAATATTCAAACATACGATTACCTGCCAAAGGCTTTTTTTTTTTTTTTTTTTTTAATAAGACCACACACTTTTCTTGTCTGATACAATCAGCTCAGTTGAGTGCATTTAAGTTTAGGACTTATCTGTAAACTGTGATCTCTCCTCCTCACCACCTGTACAGATCCTAGAGAGATACTAAGTAAAAGGCTTAAAGAAATGAAACTGTCAGTTCATCCGAGTTCAGCACTTATCCGAGCCTGCTTGCAGACGCTCCTTCATGCGAGGTGGAAGCGTCTTCAACAACCTTTCCTCTACAATCAGACTATTCCGTTTCAGAAACTGACACTCTTCCAGTTCTGCAGGAAGCGATTCGAGATAGTTTCCAATGAGCTCCAATTGAACAAGATTCAGTAGCTGACCCACACAAGGGGACAAATTCATCAGACTGTTATTTCCCAGAAGCAGAAATTGCAGTTTTCTGCACTGAAATAATCCTTCAGGCAGCATTTCAATCTAGAAAAAGGAAAGAAAAAAAGAAAATAACGTAAATTAAAATTTGTTAGCATAAATGCAGCTGCATGTTTTATCTTAGGTTAAAAGCTCTTAGCTTATAGAAGGTTAAAGAAAGGGGAAACTTCTAATGCTTTTCTAATTATATGGGGAAAAGCACAGCTTCAGCTGCCTGGGAACACATTTTTATATATATGTTTTATTATGAACACACTTCGCCACGGGAAGAGACCAAACAAGCAATGGTAAGAAGTTTGTGTGCGTAGGTAGATAGCAGGGGAGCTAAACGGGCTGCTCCTAAAGACTCATTTAATGAAAACCAAAGACTCTGTGGGGAGACACTAGCATCTCAGTGCTGGCAACGCGAACAAGCAGCTGCCACACAGGGCAGTTGTAACTCAATCCTGGTCTACACTACAGACACTAACACCCCAGAACAACCTAAGCTCCAACAGAGCCCTAGGCCATCAACCCAACCCCACATTGCAGAGCCAGGCAGTTCAGTACTGCCCCTTAGCTGCCTGCTGTAATTATTTTCCTCCCGTCAACCACACAGAGAGATGAGCTCTTCACAACTCAGCTGTTCGCTACATCTTACCTTGACATTTTAAGGTAAAAATTACAATTGCACGTTTCTACTAAGATGCTATTCAGGTAAACAGCTGCAGGGAAAGGGAAGATACATTTCAGCAGCCAGTGAACCAGCTCTATTAATTAATCAAAGCCTTTACGTTTCTACAGACTGACTTAGTAGTCTTACACAAGTTTGATTATACAGAAACCTTAGCAATAAAATTGAAAGGTGGTGGTGATTTTCATTAGGTTTATGCTCATTATGAGCACTATGAGCATTTTGAACCAGACCCTGTTTCGGAAGAAAGACTACACTAAGTCAAGATTTTTTAAGTAATTAGAAGTTGTACTTACATGGTTTTTTGTCAAAGCCAAGTACTGCAGATTGGTCAGAAAACCGATTTCTTCAGGAATGGAAGTCAGCTTATTATAGCTAAGATCCAAATAGTGCAGCTTTTTACATAGAAATAGTTGCAATGGCACATTTTTAATATTATTATAATTTAGATACAGTTGTTCCAGGTTTGATAGTGCACCAATCTGCGCCGGGACATACGAAATGCTGTTGTGCCACAGTTTCAAACAAGAGAGGTTCTTAAGATGTTGAAAACTAATGATTTCTTCCACTGTTCGGAGATTATTCTCTTTTAAGTCAATTTCATGCAAATTGTTGAGGGTAAAAATTGAGTGGGGAATGCGCTCTAGATCACAGCAGATTAATTCCAAGGTTCTCAAGTTCACCAACTTCTTCAGGTTATTTAGCACTATCAGCTTATTTCCCTCATTGTTGATAGACAAGTGCTGTAAAGAAGGCAGAAGGTCTGTAACCACCTGAGGTATACGGGAAAGGTTGTTTTTTAAGTGAATTGATCTCAGATTTTTTAGCCCCTGAAAGCTTTCATTGTATATGGAGTTGTGATGATCTAGCATGAAATACCCTGTTAAGCACAATTCCTTTAGGTTTTTTAGGTGAAAGATCCAAGGTGGAATCCTCCCCATCTCACTAGATTTCAGACGCAATGTTTTCAGATTTTCTTCCAAAAAGCTCATTGCTGGATAATCCACGGTTAGTGACGAGTGATAAACATTGAGTTCTTTGAGATTGACTAGCTGGGACACAGCTGAGGGAAGTTTGGCTTCAGGAATAAGTTCCAAGGTTAGGACTTCTACTTCTGCCAGTTCAAATACACTGTCTGGAAGACCATTTAACATGAAAAGGTGAAGTTCAATCTTGTCCTGGGAATTTCTTACCAGTTTGTTTTTCAGTTTTTCCACTGACCACTGGTTGTTGAGATTTATCTGTTTCAGTTTATTTTCACTCAAATCAGACAGGAATATTGAGAATCGTTGTGAATAAAGAGGATCATATTGATCGGCCAAGTGGAGGATAAATGCAAAGTCATTCCTTACATCAGGTATATCACTATAATTACTTTTCTCTCTCAACTTCTCAAAGGAATATTGCTTAAGTGAACTTCTTAACATCCACCACAAACTGTAGGTACAAGTTAAGCCATAGAAGATCACTAAAACAACATAAAACGAAGCCAAAACTTTAAAAATTTCTGCTAGTGAATAGACACACTGGTACCTTTTATAGCCTGTAAAGGCTTGGACATCAACTACACAATCAATTTCAAGTGTAATAAAGGATAAATAATAGGGGACATAAATTACTATTATTACAAACACAATAACTTTGACTATTATCTGTTTCATATACACTGTATATATGACATCCTTCTCTTCAACATGTACTCTGAATTTCTTCACTTTTTCAAATATAGCTTTAGCTTGTTCCCCTTCTTTTTTGTCAAGAACGCTTGAGGAATTCTCTCGTCCAGTTGTTTCCAAGCCAGGCTGTGTATACGGCAGGGACTGTCTGCTTGCACCTATATCTACTGAATTACCAGGTGAGGAAATTGCTGCTTTTGATTTGGCAATGGGCAGGCTCCTCACAGACTGCTCGGCAACTGTTTCTGAGAGGGCACGCGTTGTCCACGGAGAATCAAAACACTTCTGCAGAATGGCTACAAAGTGCTCCAGCCTGGAGCTCGTACTAGGATAGTAGAGCCAGAAATTACTGCAAGCCGCAAAAATAAAGGTATGCAGAAGCACTAGGTATGGAAAAAATTTGGCAAACCAGTGAAGCTGTCTCTCATAACAGACTGCATCGATGTAAGAATACTGCTGCCGGTGAAGATCGTTCTGGATTTTAAGTGGGATGATTATTTGTGCTGCGGAGCTAGAGGACATGTTAAGGTTGGTTTTAACTAAATCCCAAGGCACGGCACAGTGGTTGTCAAACTCGAGCTTGCAAGGAAGACAACACAACACCCTGGTTTGAGTGAGCTGGAGAGCCCCAGCGAGCACAGCCACTAGCAGCATTATCATGGTGAGGTAATACCAGAAGACGTCCCACCATGGCTTCAGGATGTGGTAGGATGACTGGGCATCTGCTAAGTATTTGAGTTCTGTTAGCGTGATCATGACTTTTGCCTGTGAGAGAACAGCAGCTGGTATGAAACAAAACAGAAAATACACTTAGTGACATAAACTGCCTTAACAGTTCTCTAGTAAACACCTGCAGCTTATCACTGCTTCCTCAATTTAAAATACATGCAACAGTGGCCTAGCATGCAAAGCACAGCAGAAGGATCCTAGATATCCTGACACTTAATCTTGGCTATTACCTCTCTTCTTTTATGGAAAATTACTTTTAAGGAAAATCATCCCTCTAGTTTATAAGTTTTTATGGATTAAATCATTCTACCCAAGCTGCCAAGAATAAATAGCGCACATAAAGTCCAAACCAGCAGTTTTTCATTGCATTACGTGCAATTCCTCACTTTGCCCTGCCAAGAGAATTACACATACTGACGGAATGAAAGTGTAGCTTTGTAATCATTCCTATATGAATGACAATGTATTTGTGCGATATTTGTGTAGACACACAAAAAATTACCTCCTCTGAAACAAAGCACTTACAATATCTGCTGCAACAGTTAAAAAGGAACAAGAGGGCTATGATGCAGGAGCTTTGCATTAGTGTTTGCAGCTAATTCTTGAATATTTAGCCAAGTTGTTCATTGTAATTGACAAAGTATTGACAAAATATTTACAAGATTAAACGCAAGTGTTATACCTTTGGAATTTGTACTTACCTTACTAATTAAAGAGAAGAAAATACACAGTACTCTTCAGTCAGGAGGTCTACACCTTTTAAAATTCCTTGGACATGCCATCTTTGCATTTGTCTTCATTCTGGAAGCATTGGAAAAGCATTTAGTAAACTTAAATATATGAAGCCATTATAAATAAAGAGCAAATATTTCAGCTTCATCAGGATTGTCTTTTTGTAAACATCAGGACCTTCTAAGATCTGAACTGCTACAGCTACATGAAGTGGACTGGAACATCTTCAGACACGATCATCTAGAATAGAAAGTCAGAGTCTTGCGTGACTTTGCCCTATTGCAGCTGAAAAGCACCATTTTATGAGCCTTATGTGTAATGGGAAAACAATACGAGCAATATGCAAGGCTTCGAGCACTGCAGTTCAAGCACAATTTTGACATATGTACATCTAGCAGAGAAGTAACAGTTTTCCAAAAACAAAGACCCATATTTTACTTCCTGAGCAGGCTGAGTGTCAGTGGCAATACCACTGACACCATCAGCCTATAGGAAACTTACTATAAAGTTAGGCTAAAGTATAGATATCAAAGAACAGTTCTCTCCTGTTTTATCAATATGCCCTTACTGGAAATTTCAGATCCAAACTGAAAATTGACAAGCTACTACAAAGAGACAAACAGCAGGAGTGAGGCAGCACCGTTTGCTTCTCCTGTGCTCACATTTGAATGGCAAAAACAGCCCCAAATGAGTTAATTTCCCTTGCTTTGATAAGCCCATTTTGAATAGCACTCGCAGACTTACCAGGCGCGCTCAACACCAAGCAACCGGAGGAGGCCACGTGGTTACAATCCACTCCTGGAGGGAAATAAAGCATCAGATCATGAAGCACTTGGATTCCAGTAGCTATTCCAATAATACTAAAGTAACAGTTTATTATTCCTTGCACAACAGAGTATTTAAGACACCATTTGACAACAAGACAGCAAGTGAGACAGAAGAAAAATAAAAAGGACACAGCTGGTTCCAAAGCTCTATTCTAGCACAGAAAAGCCTTGGCTCATCCAGCCACACTCATTTAAGATGGCATTCCTCCCAAATACTTAATTGGTCATCAACTGAAAGTTACTTTTCCTAAGGCAGAGATGAAGTAGCAGCAGTAGCACTGTCCCTTTCTGCACCAAAAGTCACCCAAGTGCAAGGGCTTTGAGTTCACATAAATAGTTAGCAACTAGTTCAATAGTTTTAGCCTGCATTTAGCCTGAAATGCTTTTGCAGATTCAGCTCAAGGGGTCAAAGTTGCTATAAGGCTAGGGCACAACTGCAAATGCATTCAAAATTAATTATTTTTGTATAATTCTCTGGGGTTTGAATATAAAATTATAGGTGTAAGAATAGGAAAAGATGCTGAAAATATCTGTGCTAAGGCACCCATTCCACACTGAGCATCACTGGATACTGCCTCAACTCATGTCAAACGTGCTTGATTTGAATGTAAATGAGAGGATAAAAACTAAACCTATCAATTCCAACCTAGAATTAAAACCAAAAGAAAGGTTTGGGATCGCGATTAACCAAGCAGCTAAGAACACACATTCAAGAGATGAACAAGCACAACGATGGAGCAGAAAAACAGGAGCAGAAGGTATGAATAACACAGGCTTCACAAAGAAAGCATTTAAAAGTCAAGATGATCACTGAATTGGCTGCAAGCTTAAAGCAGTATGAAAGGTCTAATTAGCATGATGAGAGAAATCACTTTTCTTCCTGACAAACACATTGGCCTCAGTAGTGACTTGGGCAAATCCCAATATTAAGACATTGCTTTTAGAATTGTTTATTAGAGATAGACTGATGTAAATTGAATAACACATCTTTACCTTTACTCATTGTAATACTTTATCTTAGCAGGCCACAACAGAAGTACAGTTCACTGACTCATCTCCTCTGATAATATATTTTTTCTTTTCTCTGAAGAGAATCCACAAGATTCTTAAATATAAAGCCTGCTTTAACATTTAAGACATTTTTCATGTTATAGCTGCTTTGCTTATTCGTTATCTACTTAAGACGACAGACTAGAGAGCTACAGCTGATCCATAAAAATATTCCTACCCAGAAAGGGTGTGTGCATGTGAGAGCACATGTGTATTTTTCCAGGAAAGGGCTCCACAAAGTTAGAATTACACTAACTACATCTCGCAGTGCCTGGCCCTCACCCGGTTTGTATCGAGTTCTCCCTCTGCCTGCTTTCTGTTGCCAAAGCTGAATTCAGAGGACAAAGAGTCATCTTGCAAAACAGCCATGTCTGAATCAAAATAGAAGGCAGACCCTTCAAGAGACTGATCGCGCAAGAAAGACCAAAACTGGAGGCAAATGCTATTATCCTAATATTTTTATATTTCTTTCCTTATTATAGAAATGAAATGTTTCTTTAATCATTTGAAACAGGTTTACAAAAATCTAAATCTATCCTACAAGATTAAAAGAAAAACAATCACAAGATATTGTATACATATATCACGGCAGACATGCAGATAAGGAGCTTTTAGTGGAACTGCAAAAAGCATTCCCAACCAAGCAACATGCTATTCTGAACTGTACAAACACTTGTACCAACTGGCCAGAGTTCCTGTGCGTTCTGACATAAACACCTCTCCTGCAAGCTGAGCTGCCCTCTCCTGCTTTTTGCCTTTCCTTTAATGTAAGCTTTGAAAGAAGTTATGCAATCATCATTTTACTTAGTTCTTCATTCTTAACTTGTTTTCTATTATCTTTCAGTGGTATCATTGGGTAAGAAATCAAGAGTAGACCGTGACACACAGAAATAGGTCTCAATGAGAAGTTTAACACTGCTGCCAGTTCCTACGAAACACAAATTGCCATGTTTCTAGCTTATTCCCAAATTCCTTTCAACACTTCTTGCTTATTCGTGAATTCCCTTCAATAGAAACCAGCTGCAGAAACTACTAGAGAAATACAGGAAGGTAAAAGCACAGGAGCATCATTTACTCCTACAAAAACATACACACACAGTTTTAGTACATTCTAATTTCTGTCTTGGTCAGTGAAATACTACAAACATAAGAAAACTGACACTCAACAAATTTTAATAGAGCTATATCGTATGTATTTAGATGCACACATAACCAAGCAGAGCTTTCCTGAACAATTCCATAAGGCTGAAACGTGTTTTCTACATAGATTTTACAAGACTTGACCAGTGTAATTTGTACAGTCTGTTTATATAAAATGCTTCCTTTATTATCTCCCCACTCTGACCTTGATAGCTGTTAGTTTCTATTACAAACCCCAGAGAACACCCCATCTTTCTGTGGTTTTAGAATCCTTCGTAGTAAAGAAGATTAAGCATCACAATACTAAATGTTTAAGTATTTAAACTTGTCTTGCTGATAACTACTTTTTGAAAGCACTGCTAAAGCAGAAATATTGATTACAATTCTATTCACATGAAATAAAGCTTACTGTTAAAAGAATAAAGAGATTATAAGAACACACTACAAAAACATGATTAACACTGATATATCAAGCCATTTTTTTCTCCTTAAATTTTAAGTTTCTCAATTCAGATCCTACCTGCATAACCAAATGGAATAAGGCTGAAGTGCATGGGGCTTGCTAAATTTCATCTCCAGCAGCTTTCAACCCACATCAAAGACAGAAGAGCTTTTCAAGATGGCCTAATTCAATTGGCAAATTCTTTTCAGAGACAAGTCACAGATGTTGATCTCCAGGCTGGATAAGTTCTTAAGGAGAGTTACCCCTGACTATAACTGACCCTCAGCCCAGAAATATAAACATCATCACTTTCTAGGCAATTTTTAATTACTTCAAGCTTTAGAATCCTGGTCAAGAGAAACAAAGCTCAAAAACAAATTTAAGGGTGTATTTGTTTTAAAAAAAGTATTATTACTATAAACATCAAAAATCAGAGATGTTACTTGCTGTTGCACTATTTAGTCTCAAATTTGAGTACTGATTACATAACTTTAGGCACAGTCAGTTGTGGATGACTGAAGCAGCATCTTCTTCCCCAAAGGAAAAGGAACTATTTAAAACAAACAAAGTGCTGGCATGGAGCTTCCCCCCCCCCCCTTTTTTTTTTTTTAAGATAACATTGCATTTACTAGGTAGGCAATTGGTATTTTGGATACACTATGTTAATGTTAATTGAAAAAAAAATCAACTTTCACAGCTGAAGTGTACCTTGACAAGTACACCAGTGACTCCTCTTACCTTGCGTTTTTCCCCCAGAGAACCACAGTGGTGAAGTTTTCAGTCAGTTTCTTTCGAGAAGAATAATATACTTAAGTAAATTTTTCCAAATTCATCGTTTTACCAGTTTTACCACCGTTATACCAAAGAAACATCACAAGCAGTTCCTGAACTACGCTACCAATTTAACTTCAGCCGGTTTATCGATATCACTTTTCTTCCAAAACTTTCAGGCAAAAATCATGCATTTATAAACTAACTTTGCAATTAATTTTGCTTAATGAGCTATTTTGAGCCCATCTCCCATGGGATTCCCTGTTCCCACTTAGTCTCGTAGACACACTACGAGTCTTCACTTGCAAATAGAGCCCTACAAACATTCCCAAAGAAAAACAGGTAACAATGAACCTTACTCTCAGCTTATGTAAATGCACCTTCTTTTGGAACTCTTTGCCACCATCTCATTTTTCCAATGTCCTTAAACAAGAGGAAGAACACATACTGCAAAAGCCACGGGGCAGGAAACTGCTAGGCATACTCTTAGCAAGGCACTCGCTGCAATCATCTCCTTTTATCAGCAAGTGATAGAGCACTTAATTCAAGCACAACATCTGCTACATGGTCTTTCAGAACTTGTATTTTGCCCACGTGTTCCCCCATGCAGATTCAGTTTGAGGATCTTCAGGAGAGGGATTTACTTTTGCACCAGCCCCCCACCCAGGGCAGATCAGCATTCAGACAAGATTAGAGAAAGCTCCTTTTCAGTTGGCTCTGAAGAAGGTCACCAGTGATAATTACACACATATAATTGATTATCCTTTTGTATTCAAAAGAAACTTGAAGACATTCCCAATCTCTGCAATAATCCATATATTCCTCAAGCACAGGCTTTCAAGATAATGGCAACAACATTATTTTAAGTTTCCCTAAGTTATTTTTAAATAAAAATATATATATTTTTTAAAAGTACGTCACCTTCCCAACTACCGATTACAAAAACAACACTTTGCACTGCTTATGCAAAGAATCCTAAAGGAAAATTCACTGAAACATGTTCTAGTTCATCCTAACGTTTAACTAATAAATTGACTATTTTAGTTTGTATTCTAACAGATGATTTGCCCTTGTTTGGTCAAAGAGATTTTTAAAAATTACTTCATTTGCATTTCACATACTCCCCTTTAATAAAGAATTATAAATAAAAAAAAGCAAGTCAGAACATCACACCGTTATGATCTACCAAAAGCCAGAGCCCTGGAAGCTCTGCTATCAGAAATCTTCCCAGGATTTCCTAAGGCAGCACCTCAAATCCATTATTGGGTTTCCTACACCACGAGTAGGAGTGCTAAAAAGAAAAAAACAAAACGTACAAAACCTAGACATACCACACAGCACCACCTAGACAACCAGCTCCTAGGCTAGGCCACACCATCCAATTTAGTCGCATCTCATTTATTTTCACCACAGAGGCTAGTATTTAAAACAAAACACACCCTGCCTCTCCCTTTTGGCTGCCTCTCCCTTTTTTGGCTCAACAGCATTTTCAGGTAAACCAAAATTCCTGCACCAATATAAAAAATAAATAAAAGCAGAGCATGCATTTCGACTATTGAGAGAACGAC